GCATTACTACCCGATCGGCAAATGGCATCTTCAAACCAAATCCAAAATATTTCTCTAATTTTCACACAGCAACCACTCCAAATATCTCCCCCATACCAAAAACTCCGGTTAGTGCACTACATGATCAAAATTGGAAAAATGCAATGTTAGATGAATTTAATGCTTTAATTGATAATAAGACTTGGGTACTAGTGCCTCGGCCACCAAATGTGAATGTTATCCGGTCTATGTGGATTTTTCGTCATAAACATAATGCTGATGGTTCTTTTGAGCGGTATAAGGCTCGACTTGTAGGTAATGGCAATACACAGCAACAGGGAGTCGATTGTGATGAGACATTTAGCCCAGTGGTGAAACCAGCAACCATTCGAACTGTTCTCAGCATTGCTTTGTCAAAATCTTGGCCCATTCACCAAATGGATGTCAAGAATGCTTTCTTGCATGGTCATCTCAATGAAACCGTCTATATGCATCAGCCAATGGGTTTCCGTAACAAAGAGTATCCCGATCATGTCTGCCTTTTACAGAAATCTTTGTATGGTTTAAAACAGGCTCCTCGGGCTTGGTACCAACGTTTTGCTGCATATGTTGCTACAATTGGTTTCACCAACAGTAAGTCAGATACCTCACTTTTCATCTACAGGAATAAGTCTGATATAGCTTATTTGTTGTTATATGTGGATGACATTATACTTACAGCTTCATCTGATCGTCTTCGAAAGTATTTTATGGCTCTCTTAGGTTCTGAATTTGCTATGAAGGATCTAGGTCCCTTGAGTTATTTCTTAGGCATTTCTGTCACTCGACATCCACATGGTTTATTCTTATCTCAAACACAATATGCTAAGACAATTATTGAACGTGCTGGCATGTCTAACTGCAGCACATGTCCTACTCCTGTGGACACCAAGCCCAAACTCAGTGCTAATAGTGCTACTGCTTTTGCTGATCCGACTAAGTACCGCAGCCTTGCAGGTGCCCTTCAGTATCTTACTTTCACTCGGCCTGACATCTCTTATGCCGTCCAACAAATTTGCCTACACATGCATGCTCCCACTAATGAGCATATGAGTGCTCTCAAGCGTATATTACGCTACCTTCAAGGCACTCTTTCTCATGGATTGCATTTGCACAACTCCTCCATTGATCGACTTATTTCTTATACAGACGCTGACTGGGGTGGGTGTCCAGACACTCGTCGGTCAACTTCTGGGTACTGCGTTTTTCTTGGGGATAATCTGATCTCTTGGTCCTCCAAGCGACAACCTACTCTCTCGCGTAGTAGCGCTGAAGCAGAATATAGAGGAGTAGCTAATGTTGTGTCTGATTCCTGCTGGCTTCGAAACCTACTCCTCGAGTTACACTGTCCCCTTCACAAGGCTACTCTGGTTTACTGCGACAATGTTAGTGCAATTTACTTATCAGGTAATCCAGTTCAACATCAACGCACTAAACACATTGAAATGGATATTCATTTTGTTCGTGAGAAAGTGGCTCGTGGCGAAGTACGTGTACTCCATGTCCCGTCTCGCTACCAAATTGCCGATATCTTCACGAAAGGTCTTCCGCGCGTTCTATTCAATGATTTTCGTGACAGTCTAAGCATCCGAGAACCTCCAGCTTCGACTGCGGGGGTGTATTAGAATATAATCAGCATATTCCTTTGGCATATCAATTAGTTATTGTGTTAGTTATTGTGTATAGGAAAGTCAATCATAATTCCTTGTAATTAGCTAAACAGGTAGCTTGATTCTTGCCTAACTTGTAGCATAACAATCATGTACAATCATGTATTTATTGACATCCTTGCTAATGGAAATGACACGGATTACACACTCTTACAATTAATGTCACATTTATTGTTTGGTGTGCAACCTTTCTCACAAGGATCCCTTAATGTCTAGAAACTAGTTGAGTAGCTATAATAGGTGGAACTGCTTGTAGTTCGGACTTGTGCAACAACTTTCTAGGTGGACCTATACTGGTAGCTCTAACATGCCATTGGCGTGTTGTCCGGTAGTATTGATAATGCCTTCTCATTCTACCAATTTTATGTACAAAAAAAGATATTAGTGTTCATCCGAAATAAATTATATTTTGAATTCATTAAAAACTATAACATTGCATGTTTTATTATTTAAATATATGCTATGTGTTGTTTTAAATGATGTTATGTTGTAATATAGTTGTTGTTTTAGAATTCTAAGGGTCAAGAGATCATTGATAGTTAAGTTGTTTTAGGTTGATTTAAGTTGATGTCAAGTTGACCAAGTTTAGGAGAATATATTTAAGGTTTTTCTTAAGACTTGAACTTCATAAGTTCATATCCTAAAAAATCTAAAGAAAAGTTTAGAGAGATAGGATCTAGAGCCAAACAAGTTCGTTTCTTCTTCTGATTCTATAGGAGTGACCAAATCCTTCCTTATAGTTGAGTGGTGATGAGGTTTTTGCAAACACTCCACTTGGCAAGCGGACTAAATTTCGATGTAGTATTTAAGTATCGTCCTCGGGGATTTGAGAGTTTAGTAATTCTTACTCCAATGATTAATAAAGAGATGTTGATATGATTGGAAGTGAGCTAATGTGAAACAAAATTAAAATGGTAATGTAAAAATTATAAGAACAATTATATAATACAAGGATTGGACCCAGGAGCACTTGCTAACTCTTAAATTTCCTTAAAATAAATATGATTTCATCTTCATGACTTCTACGTTCATTTAGTAATTCAACAAGATCCCTCAAAATTGAATCCTAAAGTAATTAATCTTAAAACATGATTCCTCTATGTTTTGAGACTAACACCTTGTATTAAGAACAATGACTTGAACAAAGGTGACTAACCATATCAAGTCTATCCCTAGAACAAGAAATGATTAGGTGCAAGATTCAGTTCGGGTTCTCAAAAACGTTTTCCAACAGGATTCAAAAACCAAATATTCATTTAACGGGTGATCAAGCTGGTATAAGCATTAAAAGTAGAATCAAGCACAAGTAATAAGAATGAAATGCATATATAAATTTAAGAAATAGAAGAGTTAGTAGTTACACCAGGACCAATCCTCAAAAGATTTAGCCACACATGGCCATTACAAGATCAAAGGAGTAGAAGAAGAAATCACAAATTAAAAGATGAAGAGAAGGGGTTGATCTTCGTTCCCAAATGATCCAACTTCCCAATCTTCACTCTTGCCCTGTTTTCTCCTCTTCGTGCTCCCAATCCTGTTTTTATCTTTGTGTTTCGTGATGCCCTAAAAAGTTCCCTCCTTTTCCTTTTATATCAGCCTCAAAACAGGGGAAATTTCCAAATTTTAACTCCAACGTTGTAGCTGTAGAACCACAACTATGGCTGTGGAGAGTCCTTCAAGGTGAAGCAACTCATGTTGCTGCAGCTGTAGATCCACAGCCATGGCTGTGGCAACTCCTTCATGATTAAGAAACTCCCAACATTGTAACTGTGAAACCACAGGTATGGCTGTGAATCTCTGTGATTATTCTTAATCTCCAAAACCTCAACGCTCTAGCTGTGAACCTACAGCTTTAGCTCCAAGTCTTTAGAACCAAAAATGTGCATTCCAGATTTCCACAGCTATAGCTGCAGAACCACAGCTATAGCTGCAACTTTCTGACCTCCTAATTCCTTCCCAGATTTCCACAGCTCGAGCTCTAGATCCACAACTATGGCTGTGGATCTCTGACTACTCAAATTTTCTACATAAATGGAGGAAATTCATTAAGATTTTGCTACTACTTGTCGCCACCGGCCCGAAACGGGCTTTCGGCGTTCGC